AAACGAGAGAAAAAAGACTTGAAGCGGAAAAACGAAGAAAGGCGATATCAATTGCTCGCTAAGACAAAAGGAGACGGGAGGCGCGCTCAGAAAGGCGCCTAAGTGGCTAATGCCGCACGACTGAAAGGCCGGTATAAAGGAATCGTATCATTGGAATGATTCTGTAGTAACAACCAGACTTTCTGAAGGGGGGGGGGGGGGGGCGGAGGAGAAGGAAGGGGAGTCGGAGGAGGAGGCGGGGGAGGAGGTGGAAGCGGCGGAGGAGGAGGAGGTGGAAGAGGGGGGGGAATGCGCTCCGCGCGTACCTTGTCAGGCCACGACCACGCGCCGCGGTTGAAGAAGCAGACCTCGTCGGCCTTGTCCGGATGCCAGCTCTGGCCGTCGATGCCCGGATACACGAGCACCTGGCGGCCAGACGAGCCGGGGTCAGGCACGGCGCCCCCATCGACGGGACAGGCATGTCCGGGCACGAGCCAGCGCTTTCGGGTCGGGGTTCGGTGATGTAGCAGAGCGGAGTGCGGCAGAGCGCAGCGGAGTGCGGCAGAGTGCAGTGGGGTGCGGCAGAGTGCGGCAGAGTGCGGCAGAGTGCGTGGCGAGGGGGCGGCGAGGGGGCGGCGAGGGGGCGGCGAGGGGGCGGCGAGGGGGCGGCGAGGGGGTGAGGGGGTGGCGAGAAGGTGGCGAGAGGGAAGGGGTAGGCGACGGCGCGGGAACACAGCCTGCCCGTCGAGCGGTTGCGGCGTGCCGGGGCGCCGCTCCTACGGCATGAACACACCGAGGTCGGGGGGGGGGAGATATGGGGAGATATGGGGAGATATGGGCAGCCTACGTCATGAACACACCGAGGTCGGGGGGGGGGGAGATATGGGGAGATATGGGGAGATATGGGCAGCCTACGTCATGAACACACCGAGGTCGGGGGGGGGGAAGACGGCCCCGTGCAGAGCACTCAAGAGCACCGCGTGAGGACGAGGGGGTGCGAGGACAGTGGAATACAGCGGAGTGCGGTCGAAAACAGCGGAGTGCGTGTCCCCCCGAGCGTTGGTGGGAAGACAAGAATGCGTCTTCCGCTTCTAGGCCGCCGCGCCTCGTGCCGCGCCCCGAGCGACGCAACCAGGTGGCCGCCCGCCGAGAAGCCCATCGCGACGACGGGTCCGGGCCGGAGGCGGCGGAGGAGCGTGACCGCGTCCTGCGGGCCGCGCGCGAGCTGCGGGGTTCGATCTCGGGCGATCTCGTGTGATCTCGGGCGATCTCGAGCGATCTCGGGCGATCTTGGGCGATCTAGGGTGATCTCGGGTGATCTCGAGCGATCTAGGGTGATCTCGGGTGATCTCGGGCGATCTCGACGCGATCTCGACGCGATCTCGAGCGAGAGGCAGGGCCCCAGACCCTCGCGTGCGACGCTCACGCGGCGATTGCACTCGGGGGGGTGCGGGCTGTGCGGCGGCGGTCGGCGCTCAGGAGCCGCCCCAATGGCGGCGAGGCGGCGCGGCTGATCTTCTTGAGCCAAGCGGCAAGCGGTGTGCGGTGTCTGGGATGCGTCTGCGCGTCGTGTGGAAGCGTCTCTCAGCCGTCTCTGAGCCGTCTCTGAGCCGTCTCGGAAACGTCTCAGAAACACACCTCGAGGTCATCGAGCGCTTCGTCGAGGCCGTGCGAGGGGAGGAGGCGGTACCTGCGCACCGCGGGGGAGGGGGGGGGGGGGGGCGTGTCCAAAGGAACACGCGGGGTGGGAAGAGGGCTGAAAAATGCTGAGAGGGCGCCCCCCTTGCGGTGTCTTCTCCCTAGCTCAACCTCTAACGAAGAGCACCCCTCAACCCCCTTGCTACTGCTATAGCTGGCAGCGCGGGGCGGGCGCACCGCAGGACCGCCGCCGCCAGGCCGTGCCGCGCGAGCCACTCGGTCACCGGGTAGCCCTCGAGGCAGGAGAGGAACCTAGATTGTGGCGACGCCAGCCTCGGGGCGGGGAGGACGGTCTCGTGCAGCGTCTTCAGAGCACCGCGTGAGCACACGCGGGGCGACGAGTACAGTGCGTACAGCGGGAGACGGCCGAGCACAGCGGAGTGCGCGTCCTCTCGAGCGCTAGTTGGACGACCAGACGTCCGTCTTCCGCTTCTACGGCCCGAGATACGGGGAGATACGGGGAGATACGGGGAGATGCGGGGAGATAGGGGGAGATGTTCCGCTTCTACGCAGAGCGACTCGTAGTTGCCCCCCGGGCAAACGATGACCGTGCCATGGCCGCCCGCACCCGCCAGCGCCGGCGCCGCCTCCATCACCGCCGCCGCGGCGGAAGCTGCCAGCGGAGTCCCCATGAAGCGCTGCGCGGCCGACGGTGCCAGCGGCGGCACGCATGGCCTGCGGGTAGGTAGGGCGGGGGGGGGGGGGGGGTCCAGGAAAAAGGGGAATGGGAAAGAAGGGGGGGGGGGGGGGAAAAAACCCCCTCCCCGGGGGTCTTTCCAGGGGGGGGGGCCCCCCGGGGCCGGGCAAAGGCAAACCCCCCCCCCGGGGGCAGGGACCCCCCACGGGTTCCCCCCGTCCTTCGTTGCCCCCCGGGGCCCCCCCCCCCCCAATGCCCCCAAAATCCGGGGAATGGGGGCCGGGGCCCTTAAAAAGGAGGCCAGGGCGGCAAAATCCATGGCGGCGAGAGGGGGCGGGGGAGCAGGGGGCTCGGCTGCGGAGCGCGGCCGGCGGCGTGGGATGGCGGCGAAGATGGCGGTGGCCCAGCGTGGCGGGGGCCGCGCGCACAGGCATGCGTCGCGAACGGCCAGCGGCAGGAGGCCCTCTTGCAGGAGCAAGCAAGGGTCGTCGGGTCCGTGGAAGAGCGGGTCGTCGCAGAGGGAGGGCATGCGCGGCCGGTCCGCGCACGTCGCGCACACCGACCACCGGCACACGCGGCAGCCGAGGATCGGGTCTCCGGCGCGAGGCTGCGTCCCGCAGCCGCGGTTCTGGCAGACGCCGTACCGGCGACCGTCGTGGCGGTCGTCGATGAGGCGGCAGCCGTTCCAGCACTTTTTGAGCCGGCCACGCTCCGGGTGCAGCCGAATCCACAGCGGCATCTCCTTCCACAGTCTCCGACTCATGAGCGGCGGCTCTCGGGCGCCGTCGTGCTCGCCCGCGTCGGCACGCATGCCACCGCCCGCGGCGCCGCGCACCGGGCGAAGATAGAGCCGCACGTTGCGCGCGGGCGGGTTGCGCTCGGGCGTGTGCGCGACACTGACGCTCTTCGGCGGCATACCCAACGACAACACCGAGCGGGGCGGGTAGGAGGACAAGAAAACGGGTCAAAGAATTTACAACAAAACTCCCTCGCACGACACTGGGCTCAAAGAAGAAAAAGCACTGCAAGCACGCAGCCGGCGATGGCCCCTCATGGGCCGCCGCTGTCGCCGTCCCGCGATTGGCCAATCTAACACGCCGTGGGGCGGGCGGCACGGACCACGGTCCTCCTTCGGGAACGTTCGTAAGAGCTAAATACACACACTGAGAGACGAGCAATCACTGGACACTGCCCTACGTGCTACGAGTGCACTCGACGACATCAGCCCTGAGCGTGCATGCTGACTTAATCGCAGATGCCTCTTCGGAGGCAGGTAGGTTTCCGGACGAGCAAGTTGCCGCCCCTGCTACCCAATTGGTGGCGCGCCCCTTGCTGCCTCGCGTTGACCGTTGTGGGCACTTGAGCGGCAATGTAGCGGGCACCCATGGAGGCGGTAGATAGATAGATAGGAAGGCGAAACACAGTCCGACCAACGACTGGGACACCAACGCGGTATGAGTGGACGCAAGACGGGCGATGACGGTCACACAGGAGCGACACACAGAACCACAAGACAAGACACTCAGCCAACGGGGCGGCTGCCACACATCCTGAGCGAACTTCCCTAGTCACCCGCGGCCGGACTCCATCCGGCACGCGTCGCTGGGCGCTCAGAGCTGCGTCCCCTGCTCGCCACCCCGACGCCCAAGGCGCCCGAGCGAACGACAGGCGGCAACGCGAAGACTGATTGCAATCCCGCCGACCGCCAGGCCGCGGGATGATGCGTGCGTGGTCTTGTAGTGGGTCTCGGAAGCTCCCCTCTCGCCTCGGGCTAGGAGCCAGCCCCTCTCCCTTGCCCCCGGAACACTGTGTCCGAGTCGAGGCGTGTGCTTGCCGGTCGACGGCCGCGCGCGGTTGGCATTGTGACGAAGGTTGCGCGCGGCCGCGGCGCGCCCGCCATGGCTTGGCGCGGCGCGCCTACCAGCGGCAATGTCGAGGCACGGGAACGCTTACCCGGGGTTGTCCTCTGAGCCTGGTCGTCGGCGCCGCGATGCCACGGCGGCGCATTCGACGTCGTCGGCGCGCTGCCCCGCGTTGAGCCCCGCCGCTCGTAGCGACGGCCGCAGGTCGGCCCGGTGCAGCGCGCCCTGGCCGCAGACTGAAGAACGGCCACGAGGGGTGTGTGATGTGCGGTGCGGGGTGTGAGGGGGCAGCGTCTTTGTGTGTGCGCGCGCGCGCCGCTGCCGGGGCCCTCGGGGTACGCCTCGTCCGGCCCCCTCCGAGGGGGAAGGCTCATGATCTGAACTGAAGAGGGGGGGGTCGGCCTTGAGAGCTTACGGGTGGTCTCACCGCGCCAGAGGCTCTGCCTCTCCTCTTGGGGATTGAACTGAGGGATAGGGGCGGGGATCCTCCCTCTTCCCGCCGTCGATGCCGCGGCTCAACCAATCCGGAGAGGTCGTTACCATTCCTCCATACATCCTCCCAGCTTCATCGGCGGGCGCCTGGGAGTGTGTCGTCAACTGGCCGGTGGTCTTTCAGTGTGGTGGGGTGGGTTTCGTGACCGTTCAGCGTCGTTGCCGCCTTACTTACCTGTTCCCCGCTGGCGCGACCCCGCCGCCCGCGCCGGCCAGCGGAGCCATTGCCCGCTCGGTCACCACCCCCGCCGGCGCGACGCGATCCGATCGGCGCCGCCACCGACGGGGCCGCCGGCACGGAAGAGTGGATTCTCGTCGTTGCCGGTCGGGGTGTCGGTCGGGACATGGGCGACGCGACCACTGCCTCCGCTCCAAAGGCCAGAGACCAGAGGTTGCCCCCACCCCGGTAAGTGTCGCGGGGAAGGTAATTGCACCGAAGCCTGCGAAGGGCTGAGAAGGGAACTAACTCGAGATTGTCCACCGCCGATACTGTGCCCGTGACGCGTGAGTCGGATCGGTGCACGGTGGCGGCGGGCTGTTTGTCGTTTCACCTCTGTCGTTGTCCCCAGTCTTGGGTGCAGCGTGGTTGTGGGAGAGTCCTGCAGCCGGCCCGCGGCCGCGGGTGTCGCGTGGGTCCGACGAGGTAGTATGAGTAAAACCACCCAGGGGCAGTGACTGAATAGAATTCCAAACGGGACATAAATTGCATTGAGGCCAAATTGGCTGCCGTCCCCTCTAAGCGTCCCGTCGGGCTGTAGTCTCTGCTGTGCACATGTCAGGGCTCAAGAAGCGGTACGTAAGCAGCGACCTCGGCCTTTTCGGCGAGGGAACCTTCCTCTCCAGCAAGCGCGTCAGCAGATGGAAATCTCTCACCACACCCACCAACCACACACACGCAACGCCGCCGCGAAGCCCCGCACAGCTAGGGTCAGGACAGGACTCTCACGGCCATTGAACCCTCTCAGGCCGGTGTACCGCGGCGCGAGGACCTCGGCGCCGCCTCCCACCAAAAAGTGCGTCTCCGCTGACCTCGGGCTCTTTGGCGAGCGTAAGAGCGCGTCGGATGCCAAGCGCTTTGTGAGCTCAGACCTCGGCCTGCTGGGCGAACGCAAGTCGGATGCACCGCCTGTGGCCGAGGACGAGGGCTGGCTCAAGCCTGTGTACCGCGCCGTCGCCACAACATCAGAGACGGTGATGTCGACACCGGCGGCAGCGACCGGCGGCAGCCGAACGTGGGCGGTGGTGCTTGCAATGTTGCTGGCGGTAGTCGCCGCCGCCGCCGCCTACGGAGGCGCGTTTGCAGGCGCACTCCAATAGATTATGCTGGACGCATATGGTGTCGCAGCAGCAGCAGCAGCAGCAGCAGCAGCAGCAGCAGCAGCAGCAGCAGCAGCAGCAGCAGCAGCAGCAGCAGCAGCAGCAGCAGCAGCAGTTGTTGTTGTTGCTGCGCCGCAGCCGCAGCGCGGTGCAGCAGCTGCGGTCGCCGCCATCGCAGCAGTCATCACAGCAGCAAGCAGCTGCGACATCTCTGAAGTGCGAGTCGGCTGGGTTGTTGAGGCATGATCCATCCTTCGGGGCCTGTTCCGTTTTTTTGAGAGAACGATAACAAGGCTCCAGGCTCTCGGGGGCCTGGGCGGCGAGGCCCCGGGGGAAGCCGAGCGCGGGGGCGCGCCGTCCGTCTTCCATTTGCCCCCCCCCCCCCCCCCAAAACACACACAACACACCACAACACACACAAACCGTGCACAAACATCCGGGCCGTGAGCGAGCACGAACGCAAGCTCGTACTGCCGTCACCAAGCTTTGCGGGCACCGTCGTCGAGTCGACGACGCAAAGGAAGTTGGCGCGGGAACCAGCGCTCTTCACGGGCGTGGCCGCCGCCTCATCGCGGTCTCGGGATGCTTGCGCATCTCGGGGTGCTTCGTCAGGGGGGGGGGGGGGGGTGCTTCTCGGACAAGCGTCAGGGAGAGACATTGTCAGGGCGCGACAGGTAGGATCTGAGTGGTTGAGTCGCCCTGCTGCTCGATGAAGCGGAGCATGGTGCGAATTAGGGGCGGCTCTGGCTCGAAAAAGTGCCCTGCGCGCGGCAGGAGCCGGATCTCGGCCGCGCTCGCAGAGACGTTGCGCAAGACGTGCAGGAGGCGAAGCGACTGCGGTGTCGGCACCACACAGTCCATGCGGCCGTGCACGAGCAGGATCGGCGGCAGCGGCAGCTTTGGACCGCCATGCCGCGGGTCCACGGCGTCGCCGCCGACGATTTCGCTCCCACCCACAAACCGCTTCACATCTCGCGTGTCTCGCGCGCTGCGACTGGCGCGGTGGCTGCCTCGGCCCCTGCGCCTCCCGCCACGCGCCCTCCCGCCACGCGCCCTCCCGCCACGCGCCCTTCCGCCGCGCATCCCCCCGCCGCGCGCCCTCCCGTTGCGCGCGATCCCGTTGCGCGCCTCACGAACGGTGCGGTCATCGGGCACAAGACGAGTCAGCTCGCGCCGTATGCTTTCGTCCGACTCCCGCTCGCCCGCGCCCAAGACCGCGCGTTCGGACAACTGCCGGCTGCGCCGCAGCAGGGCGCTGTGTTCGGCTAGCAGCAAATCTACGGGAGATGCGGCCGCCGCCCGCTCGGCGCACGCAGAGGGCGAACATCCGAGTAGGATCGACTCCGCAGAAGTGTTGACGTCGTGGAGTGTTACCCCTTTCGGGCCGCACCCCTTAGCGGTAGCATCCGCTCGCATCGTCGCCAGCGCGCACGGCGCTTTCAGCAGGACAATCGAGCGGAGTAGTCGTCGCTCGGCTGCGGTGAGTAGCATTGCCGCCAGATAGCCGCCTACGGGGTTGCACGGACTGTTGAGCTTAAGGGGGCAACCCGTGTGAGGGTGCACCGCTGCGGTGGCATCCGCCGGAGGAGGAGCCAATGACGGAGATGCGTCGCGTGTCGATGCCATACCGCGCGGCGTTGCCCGCCAGCCAGCGTACCGCCGCTCGCACGTCATCCACCGGCGCCGGGTATGCTTCGAAGCGATAGTCGACCGACGCGATCGCAAAGCCGCGCTTGCGCCACGCCCATAGCCACGAGGGCATCCACACTCGGCCGCCATGCTGGAAGGCGCCGCCGTGGAAAAAGACGACCAATGGCACCGTCCCGTCCGCACGTTTTAGCCGCGGTAGCGGCACGTACAAATCAAGATGGTTTTGCCTACGGCGGAAAAGGCGAGAGTGGGGTAGCATCAAGCGCAAAAGTACTAGGTAAGCCACAGCACTAACCAAGTCTCATTGCTCGCATTGACGTCGGTCCGGTAGAAGGCCGTGATGCGCTGGACAAGCTTCTTGATCGGATGGAGCACTTGTGTGCCGTTGTGCCCTGTGGACTTCAGCACGGCGGTGGCGCCACTCTGGGCCATTGTTGCTGCCGCTGTGCTGCCTTCCTGCGTTGCGACACGAGCAGCTCTGGAGATGCGTTCAGCCGTTGCCGTGTCATTGCTGGTCGCGGCTGCGCTGGAGAGCGCAGCACACAGCAGCAGCGGAAGCGCATTGCGCGATGGCGCGGCTGCGCTGGAGAGCGCAGCACACAGCAGCAGCGGAAGCGCATTGCGCGATGGCGCGGCTCTCATTGCGCATAGACGGTGAACACCTTGCCACCTCACAGTCGGACGACGCACGTGTTTAGCGTGGTGCAGCGATCAGTCAAAAGAATTTTAGAATTCACAGGGCGCAGCTCATGCTAAGAGCGGGCCCTCGCGCCAGTCGCGCTCGCCGTCGCCCGACTCTCCGCCCGCCAAGCGGGCCGCCTCCGCTGACTCGTCCGGCTATGAAACCGATACGCCGGACGAGGTGCAGCAGGAGGCGGTCCGCAGGGTATGCGGCGCGCTCGGCATGAGGGAGCAGTTCGAGGCGGCGATGGCGGCGGGCGAGCTGCTCGAGATGCTCGAGAGCTTGCCGCGAGGGGCGGTCGAGGCCTCTGTCCGACAGATGCGGGGTTACAACCGCACGGGCGAGTGGCCAGAGCCCATTCTCACCAGCCCTACCCCGCAGCGCGGCCGCTCGCCAAGCCCCGTCGATGAGTGGTCAGATGGTTAGTGCCCGAGAGCGAGGGGTCCGGGGGGGAGCACAAACATAGGACGCCCAGCCTTGCCCTCGTGCCGCCGAGTGCATATCCTATGCGAGAGAGATCCCCTGTGCCCTGTGCCCAGCCCTCTCCGCGCGGCGATGCGCCCTCCCCCGCCTCGCTTTTTTGCAAAATCCTGCAAAGGTGGGGACGTGTCTGTCCTCGACCCAGCCCTAGCTTGGGATGTCCGTTGTATTTATTTATTTATGCTAAGAGCTAGAAGGGGAGCTAGAGAGAACGACTACCCTGTCCCGTTATATTGCGTACTGTACACCAACACCACAAAAGCTCTCTCTACTCTCTCTCCTGTCCTCACTCAGGGGGGTCACAACTATACCGAGTCCCTCGACTAGCTGCCACGTTGCCGACCGAGAGCGGATCTCCTCCTGCTCCGCAAGGAGGGTGGCCAAGGCTAAAGTCTTGCCGGAGCCGCCGGGCGCGTTGACGACTTGGAGAAGGTCGCCCTTGCACTTGTACTTGTAGAGATGCTCGAGGGGGTGCTTTGTGGGGCGGTGCGCAGCCAGACCAGCAGTGAGGGGAGGCGCACCCTCACTCTCCTCGGTTGCAGAGCTCGTCGGAGGCTGCGGCACGACGGGAGGGTCGCGACAGCAGTCCTCGGGCGAGCCGACGCGCATGTCCAACCAGCGCTGGGACTCGTTGTGATATGCGCGTCATCTTCAAGCGGTGCTTGGCGAGCCTCTCACCGTCCCGGCCGCGGGGTGCGCACACACAGCCTCTGTGCACTCTCTCTCCTTCTCTGTACTCTGACTGCGCCGCCGGCGCCGCCACGCATGCAGTTGGGTGCTCGGTCAGCTCGAGCGTGAGCCGAGAGGTGGCCCACCGCTGACAGCGCTCAGCGCGCGGGGGGGGGGGGGGGGGGGCACGCGCGGGACGCGCCCCGGCAGCTCAGCTCCTGCCGCCTCCTCTCCGCTCTCGCGCCACCCCGCGCGCGGGGGCGTGACGTCTGTAGCGAGGCGACGGTGGGACGGTGTCCGACCCGTTGTGTGGGGTTTTCTTTAATGCGGCTCAACTCGTGTCGAGTCGGCGTCTAGCGCGTGCTAATTCTAGGCCGCACCTAGGGCCGCACTGCCTGCTGTGCCGTCACCCGTCAGCTCTTCACGTAAACGCACAACCCCGGGCCCGAAATCGCACAGAGTCACGCAACACGGGGTCCCAGGGAAGGCGAGCAAAAACCTTATCGCGCGCGCTAGACGTCGCGACTCGGAGGCCGCACCGGTCAGGCGCGCAGCCTCAGTATACCTACAGCCGGAGGTAGGTAGGTAGGTAGAAAGGTGAAGAACAGCCAGGCTCGGACTGGACACCAACGCGGTATGGGTGGACGCCGGACAGATGATGACGACACGCACGAGCGACACACAGACACAAACAAGCTCACAAGACACACAGCCAGCGGGCTGCCACACACCCTGAGTTGGCGTACACATAACTCAAGGCCACATCCTCCCTGTCGCCCCCCCCAGCACTCCAAGGTGCCAAGAGAACAAACAAGGGCACAAGGCACAACAAACAACAGACGACAGGAAGTAACGTGCTAGGCTAGAGCAGACCGCTCCGCCTCTAGCAATCTCGCCGGCCGGCGAGGCACGGACGAGACCGTGTGTGGGGGGTCTAAGTGAGGTGTCTATGGACGCCCTCCTCACAGGCTAGCGGCCTACTACTAGCCCTAACTCGCACTCATGGGAGATGTCAGTTCATTGTATGAGTGTATGCAAGCAGAGGCGCGTGTGCTGATTCTAGATCGCACGCCGTGGCATATGACTTGGGAGGCGTGCGACCGCAGCGCACCCGTCGTAAGGTCGACGGGCGCGCGTGTCAGCGAGAGAGTTGCGGGCGGAGCCATACCCGACTTTTAGAGGAAGAGCCCCGCTTGGCCTGCACAAGCTTTTCCGGCAAACAAAAAGGAAAACAGAGGGGCCCCAGCACTTTGCGTTTCCGGAAATTTCCAGGGAAAACAGAGGGTGTTTGGTGCTCCATTCTGGAAACTCGCGAGTTTCCCTGAGTCTGAGAGCTGGTCTGGGGCAAAATCTGAGGCAAAATTGAGGAAATCGGCACGATACCCAGGCGGTCGCAGGGTATTTTCCAGGTATACCCGGGGGTTTCCAGGTATACCCGCAAAATCCCCGGTATTTTGCCGATTTGGCTGATTTTGGGCCCAAACCAGCCTCAGACTCGGCTCAGAGCCCGGAAAATTTGATGGTTTCCCCGGGAAAACAGAGAGGAAAAGAGAGGGTGCTGTAGAGAAAAAAGGAAAGGAAAAGAGACGGGGTGCGAGAGGAAAAGCTTGTTCAGCCTAAAGCCCCGCGCCACGGTTGCCAGCCGTGCCTTCGCGGGAGCCGCCCCTCGAGCCGCGTCTCGTCGCCACTGTCCCTGAGTGTGTCCCGCCTTGGCGGCACACACTCGACGAGGACAGTCCGGCCGACGAGATCGTGTCGCGCGCCGGCGACGGTTGCGGCGTCGTGGTTTCGAGTACGAAGCGAAGATGGCACTACCACCGCCCTGCATCACAGACCGGGCAAGGAGGGGCCTGCTCCCGTTCCGCGAGGAACAGGAGGTTTCCCCCCAGCCGGAGAGAGAGGGAGGCGCTCTTCACAGCCTTGTTATTGAGAAGAAAATACCTCACCACCCAAGACAGCTTGGAGAGCTCCCGGTAACGCTACATTTCGTAACGATGGTCGCTAAACGACAGCTATTGGCCATCTGCCTCCTGCAGCCTCTGTTGGGGCGGAATGCGCGGGGTTTTCGGCGCGATGCCTCCGGCTAGTACACGGTACTGCCCTGCCGCAAACTCTCCTGCGCTCGCGTGACGTGTGGGGCGCACGCACTGCGCTCGAAAGTCGCGATTTGGCAATAGGCGCTCGAGCCGGCGCGCAGTGGAGGGGGCGCCGCGCAGGGGGGTCGGGGGGGGTGCGAGAGGGGGCGTGGGTCGGGCGCGCACCGGCCGGCTCCGGGAGCGGCCGTCACGTCGAAGAGGGGACCTGGTGCTGCTCGAATGACGACGCATGCCGCTCTGCTGCGCCGCCGATAGCCCCTCTTCCGAGCCGGCGCGTGGCGGCGAGCCGCGGCCAGTATCGCTGGTGCGGTGGAGGCGGCAGCTTGCATCGGCCGGCAGCGGGTGCGGCCATCACGTCGATGAGGGGGGGTTGTCGGCGACTCGTGTGGCTCGAGGCCTACGCTGCGCCGCCCAAGCCCTACTGCCGATCCAGCGCCTGGCGTTTGGGGCGAGCCGCGGTCGCCGTCGCTGATGGTATATGGCGGCGGCGGCGGCGGCTCGCCCTTCCCTCCGGCCGCAATTCCGATCCCGCCGCGCTCGCGGGAGGTGGCGCGTACACCTTACGCCCTTTCTCCTCAACGGCTATCCGTGCTTGCTGTGCCCCTGCGTGGTGTGTTTCAAGTTCTTACAACCCAAGGTGATAGAGGGCAAAAAGATCGATTGCTCTTGCCGATCCGCACCTACCTAGGCTCTTGGGTGGCGCGCCCCAGCTCTTCACATCGAACCTGGTTATGGCGCTGTGCGCTGGCCTGTGAGATTCATCACTAAACGCGCTCTTCATGCCATCCTGTCGCCGTCGTCAGCAGTGCGACTCGGCGCGGCCACTTCCATCCCCTCTCTCTCTTGTGTATGTATATGTTATCCGCCGACGCGCTGGAAGCGCTCATCTTCGAGGTGATTGAAGAGGAGCGCGACCCGGAGCTGACGGCAAAGGACATTCGGCACATTGCAGAGCAGAAGCTGGGGCTCCCGCGCGACGCCCTCTTTCCACGCAACCAGGAGATCTGCAGAGTCGTCATGAAGGCGGAGAGCCCCGTCGAGCGACTGTCGCCTGGCGAGACGGCGGCCGGCCGCCTCGCGCTGGCAATCGTCGCCGCCGCTCTCATCGCCTTCAGCGGCCTGCCGACGTCCCTGTGGTCGTGGGCCGGGCTTGCACTCCAGACGTATCTCGGCAGCTACGTCGCACAGGCCGCCTTTGGTTTGGGGTACCGATGGTTCGTCGTCAACATCCGCCACCTCCCTCTCACGCCGGGCGATGCCGGTCACGATGAGTGCAACGCTCTCCTCTTCCCGCTGTCGACCGAGGGGCGTCGCGTGGCGAGGCGTCGCTGCTGCGGCGTCGACCACCTCGTCTACACTTGCGCAGACCTCTCGGACGGTGCCGACGCCATCGAGCGCCTCACCGGCGTGCGGCCTGCGGCGGGAGGCAGCCACCCTGGCGTTGGCACGCACAACGCCCTCCTCTCGCTCGGCACGTGCCCCGCTCCGCCGGCGCGCCCGCTCCCTCCTCGCACGCCACTCCCTCGCATGTCGTCCCCCAGGCGACAGCGCGTACCTCGAGGTCATCGCCGCCGACCCCGCCCAGCCGACGCCGGCGGCGCCGCGGCCGTTTTCGCTCGACGACGAGAGGACGCACGGCCGCATCATCGCCTTCGCGGTCCACCCGGAGGCGGCGCGTGGCGCGAGCATCGAGCTGCTCGCAGCGACGATGCAGGTGGCCGGGCCCGCCTCAACGCCACGGCTGCCTCTCCTCCTCCGCCGGCACTGCCGCTGCGCCCGCCCATCTCTGTCCGCCTCCGCCCGCGCCCCCTCGCCCTCGCCGCCGCTGCCGTGCCGCAACCCCTGCCCCACCGCCGTCTCTGCGACCTTCTCCGCCGGCTCCGTAGGAGGAGGGGCGCCACCCCGGCCGGATTGGCACGATGCGGCGGCGCACCCCGTCCGGCGAGCTGCTTCGCTGGCGGATGACGGCGTTGTCGCGCGCGGAGGGTCCGAGGCCGTGGCTGATCGACTGGGGCGGATCGGCCCACCCGGCCACCACCTCCCCTGTGGGATGTTCGCTCGTCGGCCTCACCTGCCACGGCGCGCGTGCGTCCGAGATGGGAGCGCTGCTTCGGGGGAGGCTGGGGCTACTGCCGCTCGGCGCGTCGGGCGGCGCCGTCGACTTTGTGGACGGCGGCGACGAGGCGGGTGGGTACCTCGTAGCAGAGCTCGAGACGCCAAAGGGGCGGGTGGTGGTCGGGGCGGCATCATCGCGGGCGCTTGGACGACGTGGGGCGACGCTTTGAGGATTGAAGTGGGCGTACCAAAACATTCATCGACAGACAACACACAGACAACACAAGCCACAAGTGGAGGGTTGTCTGTGAGGGGGGGGGGGGGGGGTCGCTAGGTGTACCTGTGTTAGTGCAGGTGCGCGCCAGTCCCGTGCCTAGTGTCATGAGGAAATTCGACCCAAAATTGCAAAAATTCTTTTTCACTGCCATTCCTGGCGAAGAAACTTCCGGGCCAGCTGGTGTATCGCGCGCCTTGCGGGGGGGGCGCGGAGCTGTTCGTCGCCGTGATGCTCTCGCTGTGTCTCTTACCTTCATGGTGCTCATACAGCATCGCGCAGTTTCCTACATCGCGCAGCAACACCCTTCAACATCTTGCTCCTTCACCTTCCTACCTCCGCCGCTCTGGCGTTATCGTTGCGCTCACAGAGCAAGAGGAGCGCGTCTCAAAGGCGATGGAGCTGACGCCCGCCGAGGCGCTCGCCGAGTCTGCTCGCAGCAGAGGTCTGGCGCTGCAGCTCGATGACGGCACCCGCAAGTCGCACTCCATGGCCGAGAACACCGCCTTCGTCACTGGCTTCTTCAAGGGCATCAGCACACGGCCCGCCTTCGCCCAACTTGTCGCGTCGCTCTACTTTGTGTACGAGGCGATGGAGTCGGCCTTTGACAAGGCGACCGACCCTTCGGTGAAGGCTCTCGACTACCCCGAGCTTCGTCGCGTGCCGGCTCTGGAGGACGACATGGCGTACTACTTCGGCGTCGACTGGCAAAGCACCGTACGGCCGACTGCGGCCACAAAGGAGTATTGTGACCGCATCCGCTCCATCGCGGTGGACGAGCCGCCGCTGCTCGTCGCGCACATGTACACCCGCTACCTCGGCGACCTCTTTGGCGGCCAGATGATGGGCGGTATGGCCCGCAGCTCGCTAAATCTCGACGACGCGCTCGGCACGCGATTTTACGAGTTCGACGAGATACCACGCGCGAAACCATTCATAGAGCAGTGGTACGCGCGACTCAACGACCTCGAGCTCGACGCTGGCGCGAAGCAGCGCATCGTCGATGAGGCAAACCTTGTATTCGCCTTCAACATCAAGCTCTTTGACGAGCTCCAGGGCGGGAAGCGGGCGGTCTTGCGCACCATGTGGGGACTTGCAAAGGGGGCCGTCGTTTCTCGGGTGGGCAAGATATTTCGCAGGTCGTGAGTTGACTGTCTCCGTACTTTCGCGCCCTGTCATAGCTCATAAGCCATAGGTTGGCATAGCCACTCTACACGGCGCGGGATGTGGATGTCACAAGAATTGAAGAATAGACACCGCTAGGACGGAGGTCAATAAAAAGCGCCCTTCTGTGGCGCGCGGGGCCTCCCACGGCCACGCGTCACCGTCCGGTCACCGCAGAGGGCCGCGGGTTTCAGCTTTCACGGGGACTCGGACACGGTTGGGGTCTGCCGATCTGCCACCGCCGAAGGCGTCCTGGCGGAGGTGGTGGAGTTTGAGACCTGAGGCTGCGGAGGTGACGCCTGAGGTACCGGCCCGTGCACAGCGACTCAGTCGGCGACCGCCACGGGCTCAGACGAGACTTGTCGACTCGTTCCGGCTCAGCTTCACCGTGGTCATCGGGCGTCTGTCGACGTCAGGACCACCCATACAGCTCGCGGGTTTGAGGTCGCAAGAGCCAAGATGGTGGCGTTTGGACATCCCAGCCATCACACAAGACAGCCTGTAGGTGATGGCGGGACGGCGCAGTGTTTGTGGCACTCGGCAGTAGGCACCCGCGGCACGGCCCCGTTTTCGGGGCTCTCGGTCTCGCGGGCTGCGGAACCGGCCCCAGAAGGGGACGGTCCGGGCGAGTGTGGCAGCTCCTGCGCTAGTATGAGCAGCCTCTATCACAACACTACTGATCCTGGTCATTAGAGCTGCCAGGGATAGCGTCAGGAGCCGGTAGGAGTCAAAACCCCTCATATTTGAGACATCGCGAGGCCCATATACGCTCGTGCAACGCGAGCCTGGAGACCGCTGCGGTGTTTCTCCCACACAGCCCACAGACTCCCTCCCGCCTCCGCGTTCTTGATTACATTTTACAGTCACACAGGGATCAGAGTAGTGTCGCCAGTGTGAGCATGACGTCAGCGTGAGCGCACGGGGTGACGCTGCCGCCCGCTCCCTGCCCCACGGTCTCGTCGGCCAGTCCTTCTCGTCGGCGGCGCCGCGCCACGGCAAGAAGGATCTCTACCCCATCGCCGGTTCGTTCAAGACCTCGGCGCAGGCGGAAGGGGCCATCGAGGGCAGCGTTTCCAACTACGAGTTGGCTGGGCCTTACTCCACCGCCTTCACGTTTTCGCGCTACGACGGCAAGGAGGCGGAGGCGCCGCAGCCGGAGCTGGTCGTGCCGGTCGACGCCTCATCTGTGGAGGAGAAGGACAACTGAAGTCACAAAATTCTCTGCGATAGTGGCTGAGAGTGTCGATCTTCCCGCCGCCTGGGCGCGCGGTGCGGTGCGGGGAGGGTTCTTTCGGATACCCATACCGGTTACCGCACGAGACTGTGTGTGAACAGTGAACAGTCGCGGCGCAGTGTTTGTGGCACTCGGCAGTATGCACCCGCGGCACGGCCCCGTTTTCGGGGCTCTCGGTCTCGCGGGCTGCGGTGCGCACTGCGGAACAGGCCCCAGAAGGGGACGGTCCGGGCGAGTGTGGCAGCTCCTGCGCTAGTATGAGCAGCCTCTATCACAACACTACTGATCCTGGTCATTAGAGCTGCCAGGGATAGCGTCAGGAGCCGGTAGGAGTCAAAACCCCTAATATTTGAGACATCGCGAGGCCCATATACGCTCGTGCGCAACGGCCAACGTGCGAGCCTGGAGTGTGGAGACCGCTGCGGTGTTTCTCCCACACAGCCCACAGACTCCCTCCCGCCTCCGCGTTCTTGATTACATTTTACATCAGAGTAGTGTCACCAGTGTGAGCACACACCACAAACTTGTGTACCACAAACTTATCGTGTGCCCCGGCTGATGACCTGATGTGTGATGATCACACACCCACGCAACGATCACACACCCACAACGGGGCGGCCTGACCCATGGCCTGACCGCACCGAGCTGTAGCATGATCGTGTCTCTTTGGTGAGCGGTGGAGAGTACTAGGTCTGCGAGCTGCTGCCGTGCCGCACGGGCGCGTCCGCGCAGTTCACCAGATCTCCAGCTTGGCGTCGGGCTTGCCGCACTCGCCCTTGTGCTTGTCGAAGAGGGCCTGGAGCGCGTCGAGGTAAGCGGCGTGCCATTTGCTCACCTGCAGAGACGGGCGGGACTAGGGTGTGGCGTGTGGTGGGCGGGCGGGAAAGGTGGCGGGAGGGGGGGATTCGAGGAGGCACGCCGCAAAGGAGCTGCAGAGGAGCGGTGGCCGGCGCTCCACCTCCTCTGGAGTCGGCTTCTCGAGCTTTGGGAGCTGCAGCGGCGGCCCGATGCACGACGCGATCGGCACGTTTCGCCTGATGGCGGGACGCGGCGAGCGCTGTTCCCAGCGGGCGCTGCGCGCAGCGGGCGATCGCAAAAGGGGCCGGGTGTGCGTGGCGGGCGTGGGTCGGCGGCGGCCGATGCAGCACAGTGGTGGTAGCAGAGATGGGAGGCGACGGTGCGGGCTGAGAGATGGGAGGCGGCGATCTGCCACCTCGGGAAGAGGGGCATCCACGGCGCGCCAAAGAACGCGACCGCGGGGATGCCGAACCGGTTGAGCCTAGGAGAGGAGCGAGGCGCGTCGGAGCCCGCGCACACGAGGCCTCGCCGGGGGGAGAGGGCTGGTCGAGGCGCGGCGCCAGAGGCGGGGCTTGAGCAGGTACGGGAACGTGGCGTACGTCTCCGACTCGCCAAAGGTGTAGATGGGCGTGAGGGCGTACCCGTGCTGCAGCGCGTACCTACGGGCCGAGTCTCCAAGCTCAGGGGCAGGGCCGACCAGCAGGACCCCTACTGTGGGGCGTTGTTGCGGCGACGGCCGCGGAAGCACACTCGGTCAAGCCCTTCCGGTCAGACATGCGGCCAGACATGGCGAGGGCTCCCGGGCAATCTCGGCTACTCGCACTTGATCAAGCCCTTCCGGTCAGACATGGCGGTGCGCTCGCGCCCCTGCACGTGGAGCGTCGCGTCCTCGAAGCCGCCCGGGATGATGCCCACGTTGCGCCCCTCTGCCATCCGGCGCGTCAGGTTCTGCCGCGTCGCGGACTCGAGCCGGCCAGAGACGTCACAGAGCACCTGGTGGGTGGGGGTGGGGGTGGGGGGTGAAAGGGTTGCTGCCGAGGCGGCGGGGCCGGTTCTGCCGAGGCGGCGGCGGCGGCGATGTGGGTCGTCGCTGAGAGCAGCGAAGGAGTGGCGCAGCGAGGCTCGGCGTAGCACCGAAGGGAAGGTGGCGAAGCCAGAGGGCGCGGCAGCACCGGCAGCAGCGACCAAGGCCGGCCCCGGCGGCGGCCGCGTGGTGGGAAGGTCAGCGAGCACAGCGTGCTGATAGGAGGTCGGCGCGGCGGCCGTGCTTCGCGGGCTACAGCAGCTGGAGCCGTGGTGGCACAGTGCGCAGCGAGAGGGGGCCAAAGACGCTGGGCGTGAGGTTAGGCCGAGAGTCTGCGTCTACTACCTACTCTGCGCCTTGAAGAATCCCGACCACTCGCGCAGGTTTTGAGCTATCATGAAGGCGGTACCCCGCCACGGTGCGCCGGGAGGGTCGCCCATCCTCGCCGCGAGGATCGCCTTCTGCTGCGCCGGCGGCGAGGCCAGGTCGTTGAATGCCCGATTCCACACGCCGTTGCACACGAAGCCGACCGAGAGGATGCCGTGAGGGTGGAACATGAAGAGGTTCCGCTCCGTTTTCACGGCGTCGAGGGCGCCGCGCAGCTCGCAGCGGGAGTAGTAGCGAGTCATGTTGAGCTCGTAGATCAGCCGCATAAACCACGGCCTCCAACGCACCGTGATGCCGAAGTCGAGATAGACGATCAGCCCAATGAGTGCGAGGCCGGCTAGCATGCGCAGGCCACCGCAGAAGAGGAGGTAGACGGCCAGGAACGGCGGGACGATACAGCCGACCCAGAGCGGGATGAAGCAGCAGTGCACGAGCAGCCCGCCGGCAAAAGTGCCGGCGAGCCACCCAGGGACGAGCGTGGACGACGAGGAAGAGCGGGATGGCATTCTCGGCGCGCACGCTTGAGCTGAGAGGCTCGCGTTTCTTTCTTTCTAGAGACAAAAGAATTCTTTCAAGACCACACAACTTTCAATCTTCTCAATAACAAGGCCTGCGAATTCCTAGCCGCTAACGAGTTGGAGACGGCAGCCGAGAGATTGCACGCACACGGACATCAGCCTCTGGGCCGGCGCGGGGGCCCCAGAGGGTGTCCATGCGGGGGGGAGATGGGGTCCCATGGCCTGCCGCAGGCGCCGATATTTTCGATTTTTTCGCCAGTTTTTACTTGTTTTTCATGGGATCGGCGAACTTGCGGCCATGCTATCACGCCTTGCGACAGCCTGTCGGCGCTGCTGACCGTGCCATGATGCACAATTGATCACCTGCATAGCTCGCGGCCTTAGTATCAAGCATTCAGTGACGACCTGATCCTACGGCCAGTAGGAAGGTGTCCTTCCATCGTGTGCACGCTTCTGGCGCAATGCGCGTCGCCTCGGATTGGCTGCTGGCACTCTCGAGGCTATGCCTACGCAGCCTCGCGCGCATGGGCAGTCACGAGGGACCACGCACCTTCTCAGGACAGCGCCGGTGCCTCTCTCTTGGACCGGCAAACTTGGTGGTCTCGTGTCACCAATGTGGGACCAGTGCGGCATCGCGCCATCGACAGCTCTGAACTGCGCCTCACCACTGACCGGGAAGGCCGCCAAGTGGGCCAGCACAGGTCGCACATTGTGGCAGCAGTCAGCAGTGCATGTCTGATAGCTAGAGCAGCAGCGTCAGGGTCGCAGGGTCGGATCGTGTCAAGCCTCTCGCCCGGCCGGCCGCGTGCAGACGTCGGCCTGTCTGCTGTCTGGAGTGATCTGTCGGCGGTCAGTACGACCGATCAGGTCGGAGTTTTCTTTGGAGGGTCTATCTGTATGTACTCCTCGAGATCTCTCCAAATCTGCCCTCTAATCAACCGTAATCATTCGGGAAGTCGGTGCTAGTGGAGACTAGTGGAGCCGGAGCCCCGTTTCCGCACTGCTGCGCGGCGCACGGTGCCTCCGGGGGGCCCCGCGCCACCCCAGAGACATCAGCGACGCGCGCGTGAGTTCATGTTACTTTACGACATTACGTACACAAGCTGACCCTGACTGACTGAGCCAAAATCCAGCCCTACCTAGGTGCTCGTAGCGAAAGCGAGGGGGCGGGCGGTCTTCATCTCCCGGGTTCCTCCAGCTCCCCGACGGCTGCTTCTAGGACAGCATTGCCCGACGAGTCATCATGTAGCGCTTCGCCGTCGGCGGCGTTTGCGGACGGGGGCAGCAGCGACTCTCCGAACCGCGAGAAGGCAAAGCGCGTGGCGAAGGCGCTCGGCAGCTCGTAGTCTGCGGCCTTGCCCTCGATCGCGCCCTCAGCAAAGGCGCTCGTCAAGAAGGGCCCGTTGCGCTCGTTATAGAGCGGCCCATTGCTCGGGTACTCATCCCGCTTGCCGTCGCGCGGTCCTGGCGAAGAGAAGGACTGGCCGAAGATGCCATGTGGCAGGCTGCGTGACGTGTAATCGCCGCTCGCGCTAAGGCCGACATCCGCTCGATGAGCCGGGCCGCTCGTCGCGTGAGTGGGGGATCCCAGCACAGTGACGGTCCAGTCGGCACACGAGATCGTGCCCGTCATCATTCGCACCCCGATCGTCACGTCCTCGCACACCTTTCGCCCGCCTTTGCCAATCTTGAAGACCCTGCCGCCGCAGAAGCCCGTGATTATCTTCCACCCCCAGTTGTTTTCGTTCAGCTCCGCCGTCCAGTATGAGACGTTCAGCCACTTTCGCCGGGGCGCTGAGGCGCCTGCGCCCATACCTGCAGCGTCGTCCCCGCCTCCGCGGCCAACCAGAGCGACCAGGTGCACCTCGGTGATGAAGGTGCCGTCGACGATGAGCGTTGTGCCGCCGCCGCTGGCCACGCCGCCCCCGCTTGCCACACCACGTCGCAGCGGGAAAGTGGCATTCTCCATCTTGAGGTTGACGGCGAGGCCCGGCGCAGAGAAGAACGAGTAGTAGACGCCGTGCCGGCCGCGGAAGTCCGCGCGACCGCCGTGCGCAAAGTGAAGGTGCGGGTCCTTTTCGATGAGAGCGGCGGGCAGGTGCGGCGGCGAGGGGGAGGGAGTGGGCGGCGGATAAGGCAGCGGAGATGGTGGTGGCGGGGAGGGCGGCGGCGGGGTCGGCGGAGGCGGGGTCGGAGGTGGCGGCGAGGGCGGCGGGGGCGAGGGCGGCGGGGGTGTTTGGGGAGGGTAGGTTAGGTAGGTCGGTGGCTGCGGCGACGGCGGAGGAGGCGACGGCGGTGGCGGGGACGGCGGTACCGGGGACGGCGGTGGTGGGGAGGGCGGCGGCGGCGACGGTGGCGGCGGCGAGGGCGGTGGTTGGGACGGCGGTGGCGGCGACGGCGGCGGTGGGGAGGGAGACGGTGGCGGCGGCGACGGTGGCGGCGGCGAGGGCGGTGGTTGGGACGGCGGTGGCGGCGACGGCGGCGGTGGGGAGGGAGACGGTGGCGGAGGCGACGGCGGCGGAGGCGACGGCGGCGGAGGCGTGGGCGGCGGAGGCGATGGCGGTGGCGGCGACGGCAGAGGCGGCGACGGCGGTGGAGGCGACGGCGGTGAAGGCGGCAGCGACGGCGGGGGCGGCATAATGAACTTGACGCTCGCCGTCCCCGACCCGTCGCCGACGGCCGGCTCCGTACACTGTGGGTCGTCGGTCACCATGCTCTGAAAGCTGTTTTTAGCCTGTATCACGACCTTGCCGTCCCCAACAGCAGGAAATTCAGGCCCGGCGACGAGGTAGATTGTCCCGAACGACAGCGATTCCTCCGCATCGAAAGAGATGTCTTTCGTCGCAAGGAGCCGTGGACATCCGTATGTCGACCCTGACCGGCATTCCTCCTCGTCAGTAGCCGGTGCTGGGTCATTGAGCGTACCGTTGTGCGTGAGATTCTTGACCCAGCCTGAAGGTGCCAGTCCTGCCCCAAAGGTCAAGCGGAGCCCAGTCGTGCCCTTTTCGTAGGCAGTGCAGTCCTTTTCCGGATGAGAGACACACGACCACCTGCGGATGCTTGTCGTGTTTGAAGATGACAGCATTGTGCCGTTGACACAGCAGTCATTTTGCCACGGAGGTGCGTAGTCCATTATCCTCCACACTCGACCCAGTTTCTCGTCCGAGTTGCACGCCTCGTCCGCGCAAGCCAGCTTGAGATCAAGGCGGCCCCCTCTTTCGATTTTGGCTTTGACACCAACCCTGTCGCAATTGCCCTCCCAATTTTCATTGTTTGGGTCAGGAGCGGTGCAAATGTCGTGGCTAGCACGATTCTGCACTCTGAAGTAAACTGCGACTAGATCATTCCTCTCGAGCGCATATGTTTTACCGGTGTCGTTATGGCCAAAGGGACATTTCCTCCAATCCCCAGGGTAGGGCCCCGCTTCCGGAATCTCTGGCATGCCACCATTGGGGTATACTTCGCACCATTTAGGGAATCCAGCGACGGCGGCTCTGCCACTGCAAGAATACGTGCTCTGGACTCCAGAGCGGCCGCCAGTTTGCATGTGCCTGGACCTTGGTCAAGGGCTTGCACGCGACAATGAGCAGCGAGGAAACCGCTCAATGAGCCGTCGCGTTGTTATCCCCTTCTCGCCGAGGACGCGCGATGGGCCAAGTCGGCGCGGCGCGCGACAAGTTCGGATCTTGTCGTTGCCCAACGGCTAAATCGATGCCTCTTTCCCCACGTGATGCGTTTCAGTATATGTAGCTCTTATGAACATACCCGTGTATCCATCTTTGAGGCGCCGCACCGCTGGACTATTCATGGGAGACTACTCTCTCGTTGATGTTGCGTGGGTGCCGGGTGTCGTCGTCGCACACACTCGCCCTGCAAGCGCCAGCGCCGGCACAACGCGAGGGCACTTCAAAATCGGACAGCGCCACCTCGGTGCTGTAACTCGCGGGGTCGAATACATACAAATCGTCCGCGGGTTGGGAGGGCGTGCGCAAGTAGTTGAGGCCGTCCACCTCGCACGGCGTGCCCCGGTCGGTAAATTGGTAGTAATAGTTGTGGTGGCCGCGGAGCCCCTGTGCGTCCCACTTGTCGCACTGGCCATGCGGCGTCGCGGCGACGCCCATGTAGACGAGGTTGCCTAGTCGCAGCTGCGAGCGTGAGGAGACGCCGCTCAGAGCGGGTCGCTGACCACACCCAGGCGGGCCGTGCTCACCTGTGCGATGCGAATACAAAGTCAGGGGGGTGCGATAGCCACCGACCCGTGTCTTCTCCCGACGTGCTACGCGGACGTTCTGGGGTCCGTTTCCGCATCTAGGGCCGGTGCCGGTGGCATTGTCGAGCCACTGAGGCCCGAGCGGGCCGCCGCAGCGGTACGAGCCTGCAATATGAATACGCCACGATCAGGGCGTGAATACGGTCGAGTCGGAGCAGCGCATGAATGCGAGGGACGTGAGCAACAGCGGAATACAGCGGAATGCGTGTCCTCTCGAGCGGTAGTTGGAGCACAAAGATCTGTACTCCGCTTCTACGGGTGCGAGCCAGACGCATAGGAGCAGCACTTGCAGCAGCGGCCCAGCCGCGGGAAATCGAGGTAGCGAACCCCGCCGGTGGTGAGCTGCGTGCACGCGGTGCCGGGGTGCAACGCGGAGCAGAGGTGATCTCTGCTGCCGTCGGCGAGTGCGATCCGCTCCGCCTCGGGGTAGAGCAGCGAGTAGGCACCCGTCGTATTCTTGCCCCGAGGCGGGCTGCTAAAGGCGGCGGCGAAGCGGCGGGGCCACATCGGCTTTGGTGCCATCAGCTTTCCGTTAACCAAAGGAGGCAGCACCTACAGCCTCGGGCAATCTCGCGATTCTTTCCCGCCGGTCGGCAACGTCGAGTTGCGAAGAGAGGGACGGTGCCTTTGCATCCACCAGCGGCGGCAAGGCGCGCCCGGCCACCAGCGGCAGCCGGCCCACCGCCGCCGCCCGAGCCTCGCCGCCGCCCTTGGGTTGGATTGGGGCCAGCGGCCAGCGCCGCGCGCCGCCGCTCGCCGCGTCCTCAAGCGGCGCAGGGAGAGTGCTGCGACCGGCGCGCGCCGCGCTCTCCAAGAAGTCAACGACGAGCTGGTCGGTGGCGGGCTGCGCTGGCCAGTTGCCGTGCGTGCCTGTGGGGCGTGGGAAGGACGTGTCCCGGACAGCCTCGTGCTGCCGTGTGTGCGAAGACACCGCGCCGTCGTACATACACGCGACCACGCGCGCGTTGCAGCGCTCCCAGCGCTCCCCCTCCCAACCTCCCAACCCGCACCCGCGGCCGCTGCTCCGCTCCTCGCAGGCCATGTTCGCCGCCCGGTCGACGTGGCGAGGCTCGACCGGCCGCGGCTGGATGGGGGTGGCGGAGAGGGAGGTGGTGGAGATGGGGGTGGTGGAGACGGACGGGGGGGGGGGGGTAGATGTTGCAGGGGAGATGGTGCCGGAGGGTATCCAGGAGGAGGGGATGGGGGAGGGAGGGGGTGGCGGAGATGGAGGTGGAGGGGGTGAGAGTAGTGGTGGAGATGGTGCAGCACGCCTCGCCGCAACCGTGCAGTGCCGCGTACACGCCGAGGGTGCGGTGCAGCGGCTCGTACACCCAGCCTAGGCGCGCTTCCTCGAGAGGTCAGACACTCGGTGTTGACCTCCGGCAATCTTGCCAGGGAATCTCGGCTCGATCTCGCTCGGCGCGCCGTCCGACGAGCGGCCGCCCTGCCAGGGGATGGTGGTGTCGTTGCGGTCGTGCAGCTGCAGCACGTAGGTGGTACGGCGGACCGGCGACGCGAGCAGCTCCGGCTCGACGAGGTGGCCGAGGAGGGGTAGTGCGAACACGACCACCGCCGCGAGGAGGAGGGCCGGCGACGCCTGCGCCAGGTGGTGGACGAGCATGCCACCGTTGCTCTCGCCGAGCGCGAACACGCGAGACGCATCGAGGCCGTGTGCGGCGACGAGCGACGAGACGAGCCGGGTGGCGAAGGCCACGTCGTCAAAGCAGGTGCTCCATGCGCAGCGGGAGCAGCGCCGCAGGGTGCTGCAGGAGGCGTGGCAGTATGAGTTGTTGGTCCTCGGCAGGCACGTGGAGGAGTCGCCGTTCGTGCCGACGTTCCACCCTGAGTCGTGCCCGTCCGCCATCCCGTCTGGAAAGGCGACGACCCAGCCTCGCGCGGCGGCCGTCGAGACGAGCGGCGCGTGCTGCTCGGAAAAGCCGCTCGCGTTGCCGCCCTGGCCGTGGAAGCTGAGGAGGAGCGGGCCGGATGGCGGGACGCACGGGAGAGTGAGGAGCAGCGTCCGGTTCATAGCGCCGAGCGTGGGTTGGCGCATTGGGAACGTGCACCGCAAGGGCTGGCCGCACGGCTGCTGCTCGCATCGTAGCCCGTTCATCGACCCTACTCGAGTTCACACTTGACACGGGACTCAGCACTGTGGGAGCCGCCTAAGCGACTCCAAGTGGGCGGCGAAGCTATAGCAGAAAGAATTCTTAAGATACAAGCCTCTCTCACAGCACACTGGCACGACAAGGGCGCAAGAAAGAAAAACATGTGCGGACGCAAGCAGCGTATCATGTGTGTCCACTGCGAAAAGAGATAGGAAGAGGCAGACTCCCTAGGGTGGGCGACGGCTAGCGCATCACACCCCTCTCCTTAAAATCCCTGTGTAGTGGCGGCGTGCCGTCCTTCCTCCATCCCTCCCTTGGGTTGTCTGTTTTCTTTCTTTCTTTCTTTTTCATGTGTGTCCCTGATTGAGAAGAGAAGTAAGTTGTCGTCCTTACTCGAGTACTTACAAGATCCTCTCCTTCTCTCGTTTTGGCGTGTCCGTTTTATTTATTTATTTTATGCCTTTCTTTTATTTATCTCAGATCTTCTCTCTCTGTTGTGCGAGGCGTGAACCGCGCCATTCGCTCTCACCTGGCAACCCTGTCTGCACGTCTCGCGCGCGCGTGAACAGGGCTCCAGGCCCCAAATTACGTACGTGTGAGTGTTAGAGTTGTTTGGTATTGCTAAAAATCTCACAGACTCAGTCGTTCTTCGCACGGCCTCGCAGAGCAATCGTCAATCAAAGAGAGATTTTTAATATACCAACACAAATGTGTTGTTGTTGTAAAATTCTTATGTTGTACTCAGAGAGTCAGTCAGTCAGTCTTACACACCTCCAAGCATGGAGGACGGGCCCACACGCACACACACGCTGCACACGATTGGCTCGGGAGCCGACACGAGGCGCGCTGTCACCGGCCGTAGCACTGGGTCCGGACTGCTGGACGCACAACACACAGCTCACAGGACAGCTCACGAGGTGGCGCTGTATAGTGGGGTTCTCAGGGACCGACATGGGAGAAGAAGGTGGAGCACAGGGACGGGTGGTTTGTGCTTCAACGCCGGGTGCAGACCTTTCAACGGCCCTGACTGGGGAGGGAGCATTTGGTCTCCCAGCAACCCTGATGACGGCTCGCCGAATTTCGAATCAGCCGGGGGCCGCAACTTGTACAGCGGGTCAGCTCCCCAGATGACGCGGTATCGTGCGGTTCTACAGTCGCTGAACGACGTGCGACGTGCACAACATGCACCCAGATACTTTAGGCCTAAGATATGTATCGGAGCACTTAGGCTTGTCACTTAGGGCGTGTCGCGGACCTGCTGGGCCGCCCGCGGCGGGGAGGGAGGGGTTCTCGATCCTCGTGAATGTGTACATCCGTGAATCCAAAATATTTGGAGCCCCAAAAGCTGCGTCACAGCACGGGTCAGAGCCCGCCTTGTAACTAGTCATGTGTGCATTGACCACCCTCGCCTCGCGCGCGCGGGGCGAGTTACAGTTTGAGGCCATATGAAGAAAAACTTGCCAAGAGGGGGAGCGGACCGAGGAACCTGACAGCGCCTGGCGAACCAACCCTCTCGCTGGGTCTAGCAAGGCTGCAGCCGGCAGTCCCGCCTAGCCCGCCTTTGCCCTCGCCTCCACACCGCCCTCGCCACCTCCGCCTAGCGGACGCGAGCCACCCCCGAGCGTTTGGATAGGCGGCTCGTAGTCGAACCGCTCCGGCGGCGAGACACCTCGTCGTCGACGGGAAGGCGGAGCGGCGAGCCGCCGTAGCAAGTGGGCACCGACGAGGCGGGTGCGCGGAAGAGGAGGGCGCCCGGACTCGACTCGATGTCGAGGATGGCAACCTGCTTCGCGTTCTCTCCCGCAAAGGGCGAGACGTGGCTCCAGAAGACAGCCAATTGCCTTGGCGGCGTTCACGGTCCAAGGCAGGGCCTGCACCTCCACGCTGATATGCCGCATCTCATAGGTTACCCCGGGCGACTCTTTTGCCGTCCTCTTGCTCCCCAAGCCAGTTCAAGTAGCGCCAGGTCGATGCGCTTCACCGCCACCGCTGCGAGATGGAAGACTCCCCGAGCCCTTGAGCATAGCCTGCGATCTCTGCTTAGATCCTTATCGTCTGACACGATGCACGCCGTGTACTCGTCGTATCCCACACTCTGCACCCAGTCTGTCATGTTCGCTCCCTGCAAGATGTGCAAGTCCGCCATGTCTGGATGGTACTGCGGGTCGAAAGCCAAGAGCGCGAGTGCGGGCCTCGCCGTAAACCGCAGGGTCCAAAGCACCTCCAGGTTGTCTAAGAGAGGCGGCTCCTGCCACCATGTGTAGACGTCGGCGTCCAGCAGCGCCTTGTTCGCTCGGTAGTCCTCGCAGACAACCTCGAAGGTGTCGGACCCGTTTGCGCGGAGCGACGCGGAGCGACGCTTCAGGTACAGGCAGGCGCCTGGGTCGACCTCCACCGCAGTAGCCGATGCTGCGACTTGCGCGTAGCAAGCCACGCTGTCGCCGCGGCGTGTCCCAATCTCCACGACGCGCTTTCCGCGAACATGCGGCAAGATCGCTGTGTGGAGGACCTGCGGCGAGCGTATGGGGGACGTGTCCACCGGGCTCACGAGATCTCCACACGATGAAGCCGCGCGCGGCTTTGCAGGTGCCGTCGTCGATCGGAGCCAATCAGTGGCCACTTTTACGCTTCGCGGCGGGTACATGAGGACGCCACTGGAGATAGCTGGGCAAGTGGACACTTCCGGCGGCGGAGGGGTTTGCGGCTTGAGGGCCACCAAGGTCCATGGAATGCTCTCGCCTGAGCAGCAGTCGCCGTCCGAGTGCCAACGGCGGACCGTGCACCGCGGGTGCTGGTCCCAGCAAGCTTGGAAGTTCTGTCCGCAGCAGCGGGTCACGGTGTCCAGGAAGAGCATCTGTGTGGGCGCAAAGAGCAAGCTCCGCATCGGAAGCTGCTGTCTTGACGCGGACGCGCCCGTCCAATCAACAAGGCTCCCAGTTGCCGCGTGCCAGTACGGTGAGCGGAATTGACCCGTCCAGTCTCGCTGCTCAATACCTGCCTCCTTGAGTAGGAGCCCAAACCCCTGTTGTAGCACGTTGTAGTACGTGTTTCGCCTCAGCAGTCGTCGGGACGGCTTTTCGCGACCGTACACCGACCAGGTTCTGTTTAGTATGTAGGCGGCGGTGGAGCCCTTCCACCGCCGCTCCTCGTAGACGTGAGCAAAGATTCGCTCGATGGTGGCAGTCGACATGATGTGCGAGCCCTCTGGATGCGCGTCGTACGTGGAGTCTGGCTCGAAGGGTTGCCCTTGCACGATGCCAACCAAGGCGCCAACGGACTGCGGAAACGCACCCGCGTGCATGGCGACGAGTGTCGCATCAAAGTGGGGCATGACTGGCAGGTAGTCCACCTCTGAAAACACGTAATAGCTGAAGCCAGCGCCGCGTGAGATGGCAAACGCATGGAGATACATCCCATACGAACCGAGCGAATTGTTGCTCACGCGAACCTCCTCTATCTCGCACGGAAGTAGGCGAGGAAGGTTGCCGAGCGACGCGTAGCCCGCGATTTCGCCGCGTCTCGCGTCCGTTGGTAGCATGATAAAGACTCTGGCGAGGCTGTGGCACAGCACTGTGAGCGACCAGACGTGTAGCCACAGCATCCTCTCCGGCGGCACCGGCCCGTCACGAAGGTTGAGGCATCTGTCGTTTCCGCAGCGAAAAGGTGAACCGAGGATGACGTACGCAACCTTCATCTTTGTCTTAGCCAGCAGCCGAGCAGCGTCGGGGGGCTTTTGAGACTAGCCCCGGCCGTCACGGGACCGAAGACGTACCGGCCGTCACCGTTCGCGCTGGCGAATTCTCGCGGCTTTCGGAACTTTTACGTTCCAGCATCGACCAAATCTCAATACGATTGGTTATCACGCGTGTGAAACATCCAACTTCACGCCTGCCACTCACGCGCCGCGGCAGTGTCGGCGCTTTAGAGTACCGTTCAGCCGACGCACGACTCAACGCCGCCCATGTCGGTCGGTAATTACTACACACGGTTCACTGTTTTGAGTGAGAGAGCAATCGCTCAGACCTCCAATTGACAGCACAGATCAGGGAAAAATCGACATGGTACCGTAGAAGCCCCGCTGATAGCATCGGCTGCCGCGCTGTGCGTGGTGTGTGATCTGTGTGTGTCTCGCGTCGACTCTTCTGGCGCGCGCGGTGGGTGGTGAGAGCGAGCAGGAAAGCGAGAGAGGAGAGAGAACAACCGACCCCCCGCCTCACTGCCTGAGCGTTCGAGCTCAAGACACAAGAAGAGATACACACACTACGAATATATGGAATAATTCAGTGTTCACTATACCGGCAAAAAAGTGTTATCACTATCGCGCGACCCCGACCATACCGGCACACGTGTATGCACACACAGAAGCAGCATTGTTGCGCACGTTCCACATCTTGCACACGCACATTCACGTGAGCGAGCGCTCACTCTGGCACTCTCACCTCTTACACAGACAGCGTCAGCACATTCTGTGCCTCTCGGGATGTGTCCTCGGTCCATCTCATTGGCGCCCCACTAAGCGTCCTCGCCGGGAGGCTCCCGCCCGCCGCCGCCCGGGGCGGTGCCCTGCCCGCCGGCTGCACCCTCCTTTGGCGTCTGCTCGGCGGTGCCCTGCGGGGGCGATGGGCCGTAGGCCATCATTCCGAACGTTGGCGCTCCCATGCCGAAGCCAGGCGTTCCCATGCCGAAGCCAGGCGCACCGAACCCCATCCCAAAGCCGGGAGGTGGCGTCTGCGGGAAATCTTGCGGGTCAAAGCCCTGCTGCCCCTGCCCCTGAGTTTGCTGGCCCTGCTGCTGCTGGAACGCTGCGCCCTGCGGCGGCATCCCCATCCCTCCCTGGGGCGGCATCCCCATCCCTTGGGGCGGCATCCCCAGCCCGCCTGGCCCGAGCGGCGCACCGTACCCAGGTGGCTGCCCACGATGCACTGGCCGGGTGGGCTGCCAGTTGGTGGGCTGCCCCGCCGCCTCCACCGCCTCCAGCGACCGGAGCAGCTCACCCTCCGCCGTCTGCTCCGCGACAAACGCGCTCGCAAAAGCCTCCCACGCCTCCTCGCGCGCCGCCGCCGCCTCCTTGAACGCGTCGTGCGCGGTGTCGAGCGGGCCGACGCGCCGCTCGCGCTCCTCCTTTGCCTGCTCCGGCGCGGCCGCCTTTCGCCGCTCGAGCTCGGCGGTGTCGATGGCGCTGGTGGCCCACTCGTCGAGCGCCGGCTTGAGGATCTCCGCCACGCGTGCCTCGAGCTGCGCCTCGCTCGCCGCTCGCGCCTTGGCGACCCGATCCTCCAGCTGCGCCCTTTGCATCTCCTTCTGCATCGCCCCCCCCGGGCCAGTCGGCTGCGGCGGCGCCTCGCTCCCGCCCATGCCGCCGCCCATGCCGCCGCCCATGCCACCGCCCATGCCGCCGCCGTCGCCGCCTCCGCCCATGCCCACGCCGCCCACGCCGACCAAGCCCATCCCGCCCAAGCCCATGCCGCCCAAGCCCTCGGGCGCCATCCCAAACTCGCAGCCGCCCGTCGGTGGCGGCACGCGCCACTCGGCGGAGGAGAAGGGGCCGATGGAGGCGGTCGGAGCGCCGGAGATGGGGCTGGGCGAGCTCTGCGCCGTCCAGCTGCCGGGCGCGAAGCTTTTCGCGGCCTCGGGAGGCGGGCCTCCGAAGGGGCTCTCCGCGGTGCGGCTCCGCCACGGGCGCGACTCGACGCGCGTCCGTCGGTGCTCCGCCTCGCCTTGCGGCGCCTGCTCTGCGCCCTCGGGGGGCTCGTACCCCACCGACGGCGCCTCGGCAGGGGCTCCTCCGTACAGGCTTTCGGAGAACTGCGTCGCGGCACGCGCGGCCGAAAACTTGGTCTCGACCGCCGGCCGCCGCCGCTGCTCGCTCTCTCGTGGGCGCCGCCTCCGCTCGGCGTCGGCGGGCGGGGCGCTGCTCCGGAGGGCCGGCTTGCTCCCGAGCTGTGCGACATCCTGGATCACGAGAGCTGGAGCCGCCGCCTGATCGTGCACCAGGAGAGTGAGATGGGGCAAGAGGGCGGGGGTGGGAGGGCGAGAGGGCCCGCGCCTGCTCGTCGACCACAATCACACCTGTTCGCCGGCCCCAATCGGTGGTCCGGGTCGAGCGCTCGTCGACGCACACCATGCCGATCCTGCCGCCGAGATTGTCTCCGACCACCCACGCCTCGCCGTCGTACCACAGCATCTTGGTGGGGTCGCCGACCTTCTCGTAGCAGCCGTAGCGGCGGTAGGGGTTTGTCGAGCCGCCATAGACGTCCACGCCATGGTGGCTTCCGAGCACACTTTTCGTGAAAACGCCGAGGTATTGGACGGCGCACCCCTCCGGGCGGGCACCGGTGAGGGCAATCTTGTCGGAGAGGTGACGGGTCGTGGCGGGCACCACCCGGGCCTCGGGCCCTTCGGGCGGTGGAGCCGAAGCTGCCGCTGCTGCAGTGAGACGGACGCCGCTGTCGAACCACGACTTGACCTCGAGCATGTGCGTGTCGCGAGCGCGGGGGGGTCGCGCCGCGGCTCGGGTCTCGCGACCTGGGCCGAGGAGGGCGAGGAGGAGCGCCATTGTGTGTGAGCACCCGCGGCTCTGCTCCGGCTGGCCTGCTCCGGCTGGCGTACCTGCTCCGCTGGCGTCCCTACTAGCTGGGTACTTCCGGCCATTCAACATAAAAAGACTTCCCCGCCCGAAATGAGGGCTGGGCGAGGCGGGAGGGGTGGTGGGGTCCAGGAGGGCTCGCCGCCCCCCCGAGCTCGGGTGATAGGCAAGAGGGCTCGGGCGCCGGGTGGGCTCGGAGGGACGGTCGGACAACAAAGGGAGATCTTCGTGGCGGGAGGGCTCGATCGAGAGGAGTCGGAAGGGCCTCCGGGAGGGGTCGCAAAAAAAGAATGGCGCTTGCTTTCTTCCTATGGATCTGCTATCTGATGTTGGTGTGTGTTCTGTGGAGCAACAGACGAAGCGCTGAAAAGGGGACATTTCGCTCATGTGTGTCATATGCACCTTTTTGAGCTGCCCCCCCCCCCCCCCCCTTCACAGTCACACCACTGGTGAGCGCGGAGGTGCGCTGCTGCGCTCGGCGGTCTCGCCTCCTGTGTGGCGTGACCCCTCGAGCGTGACCCCTGACCCGTCCCCCCCCGCGGCGGAGGCGGAGCGCCAAATAAATAAATAAATAAAACGGACACCTCTACTAGGAGATGGGTAAAAAGGAACAGGTCCCCGCCCTGCGGTCTTTGTGCAGGGTTCTTTGTGGGTGTGGTCGGCGGCTAGCCGGGGTCGTCCTCCCAATGGTTGGGTAGTAGGGCTAGAGGGTCGCTCTACACTTAGCCTCTGCAGCGAGCGAGCGCTCAACTTAGCCCCCGCACGGAGCCGGGCTCGGACTTAGACGCTGTATGGTCGGGGGCCATGAACTTAGACGGCACAAGGCCAAATCCGGGTAAAACCCGGGTATACCTGCAAAAGTCCAGGTTTACCCGAAAAATACCTGGACGCGTCCCGACCAACGTATGCCGCGCACGACGCCATATCGCCTTGTCCCAGGGCCAGTGCGCTACTTGCGGCGCGCAACTCCTGCTCAAGTACGCGCACCGTACCATGTGCTGCCGCTATGCGTGTCTTAAGGCGGCTGCGGCGAAGCGGCGGGCGCGGCATGCCGACCGATGGCAGTGCGGACGATGCGGTTGCGATGTGTTCTGCTTCAAGATCGTGGCGGTGCTTGGCATGCACTTCTGCGATCCCAATCAGCTCATCGCAACGAAGCAGCGCAACAAGCTGGCTGCTGCCAACAAGGCCCTATGCTAGATCTACCTCACGCGCGGATCGTTCAAAGAGGACCAGCATACACAGGCTTCCTTGACATGCGTTTGTTTGAGCTTGAGGCTATTTGTGAGAACTGTTTGGCTTGAAGATTGCGCTCAAGAAGAGCAACGAGAATCGGAAGAGGAGGATGCTGAGGCGGCGATTGCTGAGCATGAGAAGGATCGATCCGGATTAGAAGGCGCCCGCCGCAGGCGAAGAAAATTTGGGGGCTAGCGCCGTATCGTTGATCACGGTGGGAGCCTCTTGGCCCCAGGCTGTGCCACGGCCGACTTAGCCGATGTAAGAGGCTCTCGCTGATCTTAGACCGCGTAAGCACCCCAGCGTGACTAGTCACACTTAGACCCGCTCAGCCTCGAGGCTCAGAACTTAGACTACTACCCAACCAGTGTCCTCCCGATGGGGGACTAGCACTATCCGCCGGTTTAGAAAACACTCTAATTTTTAACACATGTATGTACCGCGCGCGTGCCGCGTGCGTTAACGATACTCGTCAGCACAAGAGGAGAGTGGTGAAAAGCCGCCAACGAGAGACGTCGCCCCGAAACGCCTACTAGCTACTTTATCATTCCCGGCGCGCGGCCCTGGAGCCACACGGCCAGCCTGGGAGCACATGACCCCCGTCGCCCTCGACGCTCGGCTCTCCCGAAGCGCCGCCCCCCTCTCGAACTCACGCGCTGCCGTAGAGGGTGAGCTTGCCGTCCGGGCCCGCGGCGGCGAGCAGCGAGGCGGCGGCGCCGAACGAGACGCCGCTCGCCGCCGCCTTGTGCTGCGCGAGCGACGCCCACGACTTTGTCTCGTAGAGGGAGGTGGTGCCCGCGGCGGCGGCGAGGAACTGGCCGCTGAAGTCGAAGGCGGCGGAGCGGACGGGCGCGCCCACGTCGATCGTGTGGATGTTTTTCAGCTTGCGCAGGTCCCACAACTTCAGCGCGCCTGCCGGGGGGCGGGAGGCGGGCCGCGGCATCACGAGACGGGCACGGTGGGGGGGGGGGCGCCGCCGCGAGGACGCGCGCGCGGCGCGCGCGCCCTCGGCGCCGCCGGTGGCGAGGTAGAAGCCGTTCTCGGAGAAGGATAGGCACGAGACGGGCTGCTCGACGTCGAAGCTGGCCACGTTTGCGCGCGACTTGATATCCCACACCTGTTGACGGGGGCAGCGAGAGCGGCCGGTCTCAGAGCAGGGCGAGGCAAGGGTGGGCAGGGGCGAGGCAAGGGCATCAGAGCAGGGCGAGGCAAGGGTGGGCAGGGGCGAGGCAAGGGCTGTGTGGC